ATGGATGAATGGTTACGCAAGATCATAGATCGGTTAAGGTTAGACATTACCAATGTTAGATGTCAGCTCACTGTTCTAGAGATCAAGCGTTCGCCTGTGGGACCGCAGGTTTTGGGTTCGAGTCCCGCATGCGTGATCGTTGATGTACACTGCTAAGGAGTCCCATATTAGGCCGAACTGGCCGTCCAATGCTCCCGTGTTTTCAATGGTGGTCCAGCTTACATGGACTCATGAATTCAACTATTAAAATTACTACAATCTCCACAAATACCCATTCTGATAACGCGCACTTCCCAAGAACAATAACTGATTTACATTACCACATACACAGAGAATCTTTTTTGGTCATTATTATTTTCTGTTGAACTATATAGAATGGAATATGTATAGTTGCGAAAATTTTAACTTTTGAAGGATTTGCAAAATTACGCAACAACCACTCATTGAACTGAAAACTATTGTCATGAAGAATACAATCTTGTCTTTATTATCGATACACTTTACAAAGCGAAATAAAATAACTTTTAGTATTAAGAATTTCTTTTGATAAAGTCATCCAGTCCTAAATATTATTCATTTCTTTCACAGAAATTATTATTAATTTAAGAAAGCGTAAAAGTTTATTCATTCACCGATCCTTGACGTTTCGCATTATTAATACATCCCTATTCATTATTTTATCACAATGATTTATCTATATGTTTACTCATATATAACGATTATTACAAGATCAAACTCTGTGTTAAGATAACTCATGGAAATCACTTCACTACTTATGCATTAAACATTTTATTAGCTTTCAAGTTCAGTAATCACTGTTATCTACTATTAAAATTAGTTATCAGTATTTTTCCAGTTTACTTTTAATGACATGTATAATCTTTCTCTTGTCATGAAACTTAACAACTTCAGTTCTATTTCTACATGATCGAAAAAAAAGTAGCAAATTCTCACATCCAATCAAACCACTTTAGGTTACTTAGATTTGAACTAATTAGATTGCAAAATGCAGTTTACAACGAATTAAAAAATTACTATTGGTAACAAAATGTTTGTTCTTTGCCACATGAGCACATACATTCAAAAAATAAGTTAACCAATCATCTATTTCAAAATTTTTTAATCAGACCCTAAAACTTCTCATCAACATGGGGGCGAGGAATCACAACTCTCGTGCAATAATTGTCTAGATATCCGCACACATCATCTTACCGCAAGATTTACACTTTGAACATTGTTAAAATAACTGGACAATTTTTAGCACATAGTTGATATTTATGAACTATGTTCGATAACTTTCATGTTTTATTATTTGCCTTGAAAAGGCTTGGACTACAATGCCGATCGGACTTTCTATTAAGTTAATAGTTGAGACTTTTAGGAGTGATTATCAATCCTGGGATGCAGGTATATCCAGTTGACGAGTCCCAAATAGAACAAAACGAGTGTCCTGGATTTCACTGATAACCCATCTTTGCTTAAAAAGCTTGTGAATTAAGGCTATATCGAGGCAATCCGTACGGGATGCACATTTTCCAACAAGAGACTGATCAATTGCAGTCATAGATAACAATGGGAAGGTATAAGTAAGAACAGCACCAAGTTAATATATAGTTACCTCCTTCGGACTGAAGGCAGAGGACAGAGGAAAAGCTTGCAGATGGCTGACGAATTGAAGTGTAGATCATGTTTGGTCAAGTTTAACTGTTCAGGTCAGAAGGTTTAATTAGTCAAGTGTAGGATAGTAGGCTAATAGACACGGGACAGAAGAAATTATAACGTAATTTTAACTGATGAATTCAGCATTTAATATCGATTAGGGTCTGAAGTTATCATGTGAACAGTGGTCCCAAAATATCAGTAAAAATTCTGGAAGCATATTTTATTACATCAGAACTTCATCAGCTATTTGTATCCACACCTTAAAACACTATTCCATTCAAGTTTAATACAATTGATCCCTTTGATAAATTTGGATAGTGTAATTAGATGAAGATTATCAGACATATTCTATTCACTGTCTTACTACTAAACATTACCTGTATATTAAACTTACAATAAAAAATTAGTTCGAAAATATCTAGATATGGCATAATGGAAGAAAGCGTAACTTTGTAGTCCGACCCAAAATTATTATCTGTATAAATAGCACCATGAAAGTCATAAAGGATGAATAACAATAACTGATTGGCAGGTTGGGTAAACTAATGTTGGCCCAGAGCCGTATATCGGTATGAAATAACACATAATACGAGAAAGCAAACAACGGACTGGTTGATCACATACATTCAATGCCGGTTGGTTTAGCAGAAGTGTTAACTACCGGTCATATAGGAAATAAACCAAATCGATTAAATGTCACAAAGTTTAGTGGGTTCCTTTTGAAAAAATAAAAATCACGACTATCTATTTACATTTCAATATAATTTCTTTCAAATTACTTCTCAAGTAATCTACCTTGGGGTTAGACGCAAAATTATACATAAGTGTAGCAATTTAAAAGATCATATTTTGAACCTATATCGATATAGGTAATTGGGTCATACGTTGACTATGAGATCATATCGCTTATCGTGACGTACGATAGAAGCTTAACTCAGATTAGTTGAGTGAATAGAACAAGCAGACTTATGTATTAAATGAGTTCACAAAGTCACAGAATGTTAGTCCATATTGTACACGTAGGTGAGTGACTCTTGTTAGTGTGAACTCTAGATGTTATGTTTGCTACTGATTTCAATATGAACGTACTTTTTTCTTTGTTTAAACCATGAATATTTTGAATTTTTTCTTGCCCTTTCTCGAATTATACAATTCTTTTGATATTTTGTTAATTTTCCTGATTTCATCTGTTGACAACCGTAATGATAGGAATCTATTTATTTTTGAAGGTAATTCTACATTGTCAAAGCTGTTTGTTTTATATCAAGACAAAAGTGTTAATATAAGCTCAAAAGATGTAGGAAAAAGCCAAACAGTAAGTTTAAAAAATAAAAACAAATACTACTGTGGGGTGTGGTACACATGTTGACAGATATAAGTAGTATGTAGCACCGGTCGGAAGTGGGATGCCTGCCAGCAGAAGATTGACAAAAATGGATTAGAGAGAAGAGAAAGCAATTGTAATAACAACAGTATTGAAAGAGTCGTAAAGCATGTAAAGGAAAAATAAAATAAGATGTGCAAATAATGTATTTAATGTATGATTTTCATATGCTAAGAAGCCACTGTGTTATTTCCACGAACAAACAATAGGTTTAATATGACTCGGAAAAGTTTGAGGATATTATAATATAATACACGCCATTATTCTACTTAACGCTTTCATTAAATCTTCAGTGGAATGCAATATATCTGTTAAGTTAACTGACAAGAGACCAGAATGTATAGTTTTTTCTTTCAGACTTTTATGTGTTGGGGACGTTTTCTGTCTAGATTATTTGAACTGCATACCTTTAACTTCCAGGAAATTCACATTAATTTCAGAATCCATCTTTTTGTTAATGAACAGTTTCCTCTACATGTTAATCTTCTTGTATCAATCTATTGTGATTAAGATTGAAATATCAAACAAAAATTTAAGTTTTTTTTACTGAGGTCATGAACCAATTGATGTTAGACCACCACCTTTGGAAACCTGGAAGCACTGGACGGCCGTTTCGTCCTATCGTGGGACTCCTCAGCAGTGCTCATCCACGATCCCGCTCGCGGGACTCGAACCCATGGCCTTCGGTCTCGCGCGCGAACGCTTAACCAACTGGACCACTGAGCCGGCATCCAATGGTGATAGTGTCTAACATCAACCAATCCACGAAATTGCGCGACCAACTTCCATTGTATATAGGTAGATACCTGTCTCTACCCGACATGGATTAGCTCCACTGATCACGGCTTCTCACTAGAACTCCGAGGATTCCCTCACGAAGCTAGCCACTAGTGAGCACATGTTGATTACTAGTATGGGGGTTGTGGAGATTATTACTTTTTTTTGATTGAGATTATGAACATCAATCGGTTCATGATCTCAATAAAAAAACGTAATAATCTCCACAACCCCCATACTAAAAATTTAATTATTTGATAGACTACTCAGTCTACTTACTAAATATTGTAGCAATGAAGGTTTTAAATGATCTGAATTGTTCTTATTGTAGCATAAATATAGTCACGTAGGCAAATGTCTTTTCAAAAGTGACACTTTTAAAACTTTCTACAAAAAAGTATTTAAAAGAATCAGAGCTATATTATATACACCATTATGTTCTGCTTTAATAAGAATGAATAATTTCCAATCATTGTCCACCCAGTATTTCTTTAACATGAGTAAATATATTATAAATATGTCATATTTCAATAACTATTATTTAGATATTTCATTAACCTGTGAATGAAAACTTGTCATAAATGTCATAATTGTGAGATTGTTATACTTAGACATTGTACTTAACAAAGAATGAATCATATAATTTTAACTGTTTTAATAACAGTCTAATTATGCGAAGTAATTTAAGTGAGATTTTTTTACTGGACATTTTCAGATGTGGATAATAATATCCTGAGTGTTACCTATTGTAATGAATGAGTGGTTTATTAGCTTAGACAAACAATAAACATTAAAATTTATTTGTTTAGTGATTAGACTGATATATATATATATATATATATATATATATATATATATATATATATATATATATATATATATATATATATATATATATATATATAGGGTTAAGGTAGAGTAATCCCCCGGAGATTATGTAGTAAGATCTTTGCTTCTAATTCTTCTTATTTCTAACTATCTCATATATTTGAATATAGCTGACAATGTTCAAGCAAGATAATAACTTATTTATCATTTATAAATTCAAGAATATAATTCTTGAAAAGGAAACCATAAATGTTGCCGTCATAAAATCATAAAGTTTTAGTAATTGATTTTATTTTCCCCAGTAATCAATTTTATCTATGATTCTTATTACTATCTATTTTAGACAATTATGTGTTTTTCAAAGAAATCGGAATTACTCCAACTAATAATCATATCATTGAGTGTATTGAGATTTTCTACTGGTTTTATGATAAATCATATAAATGGTACAGTTGAACAAATAGATAATAATACACTATATCAAATATTGTCAGTTCAACGGCATGTTGTTGTTTATTTCTGTAAGTAATAATTCATTGCCAATATATGAGATGTTCTTTTTTATGATCAACTTCCATATTGTTGCTCTAAAGTTGTTAATATATGTACGAAAATGATAATTTATTTACTTTTAAATCACATTTATCTAACAACCGATGGCTGGTTTGGATTTATAATATAAGAGCTCTGTTAGTACGAGCTTTGATGAATTCGACTAGTGTAGCTAAATTCCTTCAACGGTATCATACGATTGACTGATTGTTAATTGTTTAGTTTTCAAAATTATTAGCCGATGAAAGCCAATATAGTAAATTAAGATGGTTTCGATCTGGCGGAATAAATCACTAGTAAGTTTTAATTTAGATTAAGGAAACAACTGACTAACCTTCACTCAATACTATATTCAATTTAATTAGCAATTTAGAAATGTCTGTCTTAATAGAAATCTGACTTAAGTTTTTATCCAATTTATATTAGAATGACTCTTCCGAATTAGTTAAGAATATAAGTACTAAGAATATCTTTCAAAACTACACTTGAACAAAATTTACGTAGTTGAATTTAAATAGAGCAAGAATAAACATTGATGCAGCTCAAATTTCTTGAGACACGTTCCTCTGTCGTATCTGTTAAGTTTTTCTGGGTATTGTCGATGATAAATCTGGTGGAGTTATTTAAAATGGACATTACCTTATTAATATATTCATCTCTGTTAAGAATGACTACACCGGAAACCTTATCCGGACGAAATAGCATTATTGTTTCGTCTTTAATGAGTTTTTCCAATGCTTGATGGTGATCTTCGATGAACGCCTTTGAATGTGGGATTGGTGTCGTAACATACTGGTTTGTGATATCCACTAATTTAGATTTAAACCAACTATGCTTTTCGTCGTTCATGGGTTTAAGGTCTGACAATTGTTGATATAAATATTCAAACTGCGTCTCAGTGTCTACTCTGTTGCATTTTCTTGAGATATGAAATTTGAATCCAAGGGAGAGTGCTTCAGTTTCCATTCGACTTAGTTTTTTATTCGATAAGTTCTGTATGTATTTTCGTGGATTGGTAGGAAATGCCACATGGTTTTGTTCTTTAACAAGTGTTTTGGTTAATGCCTTCATGAATTTATGACTGGTTTTCGACTGAATATCGCGAATGAAGTTAATAAGTTTAATACGACATACAATATTTAAATCCATAACAATTTTGTCATAACCAAGGGATTCTATTTTAAGTTTAGAGATAAGTTCCTTAGTGCATTCAATTAGGGATTTGGTGACTCGTCGAAGATTTTTTAACGAAGGAGGTATTTTACAGGCACGGACAGCTTTAATAATGTGACGAGGAAAGCAGCCATCATTAAGGCAACGTGACAAAAATTTTAATCTTGTTGTTTCTCTCGATATCCTGCAACGAATTGTCACCAACTTGTTGAGTGACTTGAAAATGTGAACAGGGAGACGGCTTTTGAGAAATCTCATGCAATTGGTTCCCTTAATGAATTTAAATAGAGCAATAACAAACATCGATGCAGCATCAATGTTTGTTCTTGCTCTATTTAAAATTTACGTAGTTCATCCATTCTATTTATGACAACTGGAGAACTTTTGAAAGCAAGCAATAAAAAGTCATATTAGCCCAGATAGGGTCTTTACTTCAGTAAAAACTTCACTACACTGATATCAATGTTTAATTTCTACATGGATTTTGTGATTGATGTGGTGGGAAGCTAATTCCTTTTGATTCAGGTCATTGGTGAACTTAAGGTGAAAATGTAAATTGCACTATCTAAATATGTTGTACTAGTTACAACATCTTAACTTCTTATGTTCGATTCCATCATATAATACAGTTGTGAATTTAAATTGTTAGAGAATTCTGAATTTAAAATGAACAGCTTTTCAGTACTATTTAGTTTTTTTCGAGTTCATTTATCTTTGTAATAAGAATTGCTTTCATACTAATACTTATTGGAATTTCATTGAATTGATTGTGCCTTCGTAATCATCACAATCTGCTGTACATAGATGTAAGGATAAAAATCATTTCATCAATTTAACTAAACCTTAAGTTTATATTCTCATTTATAAGTCCAGTTAAGGTATTGAAAAGTCAAATATGTTTGGGTTAAACTTGTTGTTTTAATCAATCAGTTAATTTGGAGATTGATTTCATTGTAAATCATCGTTATTTGAATAAAGATTTTTAATGGTAATAACAATTAACTTTAAACCATAGGATAAATCTTTCTCAACTGTCTGTAACTCTAAGCCTAGTAGTATATGAAGTTATACTTAGTTATTGAGTTAGATATAGATAAATACGGAAAATTATTTACTCTATGTAAAATAAGCTTGGAAAACAGTCTGATAGCCGTAAATCATAAAATTATTAACAGTAGATTTATACTAGTTTATTAATCCTCACCAATGGAAGTTTATAAATTTCCTAAAACAATGAATCAAATACTTTTCCACATTAAGTAAATCTGGTGTAAAGTAAAAAACCTAATTGATGACAATGAATGATTAGTAAGAAGAATATTTTATAAAATAAATACAACCAAACGTAATTACTACCTATCAAATTACATGACAATCACACAATAAGAATATACACATCATAGAATGTATGAATTCGAAGTATATACACTTGAGGTATATGATAATAGTTATTCATTAATGAGATTTATTAACCATTTGATGATTAGAAAACCAATTGAAGTTCAATTTAATTATTTAATTAATAATAATTATTTTACAATATTTTTAGATGATCATGGTCATCAGCAAGAATCAATTTATAAATTATTTAATGAAACATCTCATAAAGTAGATGAAACTATGCTACCAATTTCAGTAGTTACTGTATGTGCAACCTTTTATGATGAGATTGAAAAGAAGTTGAATATTTACGTAAGTACAGCTTTATTTCTATTTGCATTATATAAACATATGTATACACTTTAATATAATACAAAATTTACTTATCATTCAATTTTATATATTTCTACTAATTTTTTTTTGCATATTACATTTATTAATGTTTATATAATAAACAAATTTAATAGTTGAATTCATGAACCAATTGAAGCTAAATCATCGTGGTAAGCCTGGAAGCACTTGACGGACGTTTCGTCCTAATATGGGACTCCTCAGCAGTGTGCATCCATGATCTGATTATAATAAACAAATCCACTAAAATGGGTTTAACTAATTGTTATTATCATTAAAATTTCATATTTATTTTAAACAATTGAAATTCTACCTAAAACTAAAGAATAAAGTAATTTTGAATTATTCTTATTGTTAAGTTACTGGGAAATAATGTAATCTGATTAAAAGAAATATTTTAAGTAATAGCACTTTCACATACATAAAATTGATTATGTTAATGAGATAATAATTCAACAGTTTACTTGAACCAACCAACAGTCAAGAGTTTTAATTAAGGTTATTACTAATACTAAATGTCAAGCTGTTAACTTTATCATGAGACATGAACGGCATCTAAACACCATTTTGAGATCCCATAATGCTGGTACCATCGGAGACTCTTTGATATACACAGTGTCGAAGGTCAATTATCTTGGTGTCACCTTTTCCTCTGATCTGTCTTGGTCTTCCCACGTTTTACTGTTATCAAAGAAGGTTTTCCGTCTGACCTACTACATAAAGAGATTGCATGCTCTTGGGATTACTCGTCATTTACTCTTACAATTTGTCAATTCTTGCATATTACCTATTATTCTTTACTGTTCTCCATTATTCTATCCCGAGCTTTTGAAGAAAGACTTTGCTGTATTGCGGAGAGTAATGAAGGCAGTTAGCAAGATGTGTGGTGAATCTCTCGAGGTCATAATTAATATGGTTGTGGATAGACATTTAAAATCATGCAAACTCCTGGCAGGTGTCATTTTATCAGATACTAGCCATCCCCTTCACTCTTATCTTTCTCCTTGTATATCTTCTGGTAGAACGAGACGTAATTACATTAAAATCCATGCACGCAAGCAAAAGTATAAAAGTTCTATAATACCTTACCTAGGAAATATACTCTGTGACGAACAGGTTGTTAGAGTTAACCTAGTCAATAACTTGCATTCTTAACATGTCCTTAATTTTAAAAGTTGTACAGTTTTTTGTTTTTTTCCCTTTTTTGAAAAAAACATTTCTCTTTTTTTGTATTCGTTACTGTGTTTTTTCTGTTGTTGCGTAAGTAACTTGTTGAAATAACCTGTTCTGAGAATTCTATATTGTACCAAAACTATAATATTGAATAAAGCCATTAATAATAATAATACCTTCGTATTTTTTGAAAAAAACTGATGGCTATCTGGACTTGATATCTTATTGGATAACATATTTGGTGTTTGAAGTGAATGGCATTAGATTTGCGTCCCAGAGTAAACGTCAGCATAGGTGCAGGTTCATTCAGTTGACAAGTTCAGAATAGGAAGAAACATGCATCCTAGAGTCCACCAACAACCAAAACTAAATACACTAAAGCCACATTTTTTAATTTTTTTCTTTTCATGGTATCGTTCATACTTCATAGTAGAACAAGTAATTTTTATTATGATCATATTCAATTATATTCTAGGTAAGAAGTATACTGGAGTTTTTTAAGTATTTACTGGAAATAAGTTGACTGATAAATACAACTGAATTAGTATTGAGAACCATAATGTAACAGAATTAAAACCAATTATAGAAAGCATAGAACATCCTATCATAATTAAATCTTATTGTCAGTCAGAATGGTTATGTATTCTGATGAGTAAGCATATAATTTGCTAATAATCATTTAATAGACTGGATAATCTATTTATTGAATTCTACTGTTAGTCATTATTGGATTTGAGTAAAGTAGATTCACAAGTGTTATCAAGAAATTCATATTAAGAATGTAGATAGTAATATCGACTAATGAGTTTAATTCTACTGTTACCGTTAGCAAGAAAATACCGAAAAACCTCCACCGATAATGTTCAGACTAAAAATACATTGAAGATAAGTCAAGAACGACGTGTGAAAGACTAATATATCAAAAATCATTCTTTGATCACATAATCGGTTTTTTTGATAGATTTACTGACAGAATACAATGATTAATAAGCAAACAGAAAGCACTTGCATTAGAGTACATGAATTTTAATAGTTACTTTTCATACAAATAAATGTAGAATGAGGAAAACAGGATTTCCATAATTGAGCAATTATTTTCTCATTATGATAATCAGATTAATAATATGATGATTATGTTATCTCATAGGTTGAAATCATGAGTCAATTAAAGCTAGACCACCATGGAAAACCTGGAATCACTGGACGGTCGTTTCGTCCTAGTATGGGACTCCTCAGCATTGCGCACCCACGATCCTGCACCCCGCGGGATTCAAACCCAGGACTTACTGGTTTCGCACGCGAGCACTTGACCACTAGACCACTGGGTGCGCACTGCTGAGGAGTCCCATACTAGGACGAAACGACCGTCCAGTGATTCCAGGTTTTCCATGGTGGTCTAGCTTCAATTGATTCATGATTTCAATCTATGAAATTTCTAATAATCTCCACAAAACCCATTCTGAGATTATGTTATCATCAGTATTACTTTATTACTTCAGAATGACTAATTCAATGAGCATTTATCAATTAGTTTTTATTATTTTTCGCTTTGTAACCTGGTCTACTTTTCTATGGTGTTACTTATATATAAGTGATTAAGTTGATTTTTAATTATTCTAGCACTATGTTTTCGTTACTGGCTAAAGATAGGACTTATATTACATCTAAAAAAGTAACATAATAATAAATGGATCCTATTTATTTTAATTTTACGTGATTGACATACACAATTTATATATATACGAATAGTATTTATTACTGATTACACAATAAAATTCAATACAAGAAGTCTTGAATTGAATGAAAGTTATAAGAATCGTTTATTTTGCAAGAAATGTCGTAAAATGCCACTCCCTAGAAAAATTGTTTGAGTCAAGCAACATTCATAGTGTTCATATATGACCACTTTGAAAGTTAAAGTATAATCAAATAGAGTATTGAGAATTTTACGTATAACAGTTCGAATGTTTTCAAGTTCAAATACAATGGTAACCAAAGACTTGTTGTAACCAAAGAGATCATTATCGTATGTTGCTTTTTCTGAAGATATGGTGAACAAATAAATATTATTTTTATAACTTATAGCCTTGTGCTCTATTAATTTATAACATAATGATACCGCCAATTAGAGAATAGTAACTTATCGACTTGACCAATGACTCTTACACCCGTACGAGCAGTCTAGAATCCTTATCGGTCCTTCTTCCTGTCTAGCTCTGCCTGTTGAGTCCAGAACACCAATATCAGCCTCCACGATATGAATTATATATTTCCAACATACTGGGTTTATATACAAACTAAACAGATCACATCACACCATAAAATAGAAAATAACATTTGTACAAGATCTAGCTAAAAGTAGCTGTGAATGTGGGAGACGGTAATTAATAGATTGGGTATAAATTAAAAACAGTAAATCGTATAATAATAGTCTATGAATCAAAATGTAGCTTGTAACAAGAGGAGTATAGATATACAATAAGAATATACATTCAATATTAGTCCATAATTAGTTCTCAGAAGTTACATATAATTTAATCTTCACTAGCATATAACAATTATATAAAAAATTTTCTCATATTCTATTTGTTTATTTTGTTAAAGATACCATCAGTTACATATTTTCGTGATGGTGGAAAATATAAATCCGAATATAAAGAATTAATGAAAATCAATGGAAATCATGGCAATCCAATATATGAATGGATAAGACGAAAAATTGGTTCACCAATAAAATTATTAAGAAGTATTAATGAAACCAACGAATTTATTATGATCAATAATTTAGTTGCTATCATATTTATGAAAGTAAGATTAAATCATATATTTCTACACTACATTCATTGAAATTAAAATATTCACATGTCAAATTGTTCAAAAGAAACTCATCCAAAAATAATTATTGAATGTTAAACTCTAGCGATTAAATTACTTTGCAGATTCCAACTAGATTGCTCATGTTTACTTGGTATTATTTGTTTGAATCTTCCTATTGAGGTTTAAGACTGCAATTGATCATTCTATTATTAGCATATGTACATATTGTGCGTATAGACTCGACTGTTCATGTGACCAATGTTGGTAAACGTACATAATCACGTTCATCAAAAACGTTAGACAGTGAAATGAGTTTTATTTCAGTAATATCGTAAAGTTTGCATATAGTTCATATACAAATACGTCATCATTCTTCAAAATGTTTTTAAGTTCACTTAGTCTTTAGTAAATAACGATAGAGATAATAAGTATCATTTTATTCAGTATGTAACATTATGATATTTTAATGTAATTGGGATAATCATATGTGGTTTTGATTAACACTTGTCCAGATGAATAATTGAAAACATTAATATGAATCACCGAGATTCACTTTTACTTAATTACAGACTAAATGCTTTAGGAGGTAGGTTAAAATGCAGTACAATGGAATACCATATCTGCTTGGTAAGGTTCAGTTGACAGACTTATTCACTTTATATACGCACAATAAAGATTACGATTCAATAAATAGAGTATGGTCTAGCAAATGAAAATGAACCTAAATCAGTATTTAATATAATTAAACATTTCTTATTTTGGTATTTCAACATAAAATGTTACATTTCCGTTAAATGAGTCCAAATGATCATATGATCTGGAAAATAATCTAATTGTTTTAAATGCATCTCCTCAAATACTGTATTGACCAACTCAATATTAAATGAATGAGATGTTAAAACAAAACATAACAGTTATGTTACAATAGACTATCCAGCAAAGAGACCTCTTCTAGTATAGGGGTTGTGTAGTTGGACGAATTTTGTAGTGTTGCATCATATACTGATTTTAGACAACCGATGAGGTCCATGAAGTACTGGATAACTGTTTTATTCTGTTATGTGAGCCTTTAGAAGTGCCCATGCAGGATCCAACTAAGTCCGAATCCAGGACATTCAGATTTCTCAGTGAGTGCCTAACGTCCAGATCTATGAGTTGATATTTAACGACTTGAATTTTTGACCCTATTAAATTCATGATATCATGCGACTATCAATCATTTCCGTTTGTGATCTTTGTTTCACACGTGATATGAGATCGTGAATATGCGCTACTAAAGATTCTTATACGATGATGAAATAACTTCCCATCCCTTCTGATTCTCAATGATTGTCTAAAATCAGTTCATAGTGTAAAAACAGAAATGACCTCTATGTAAGTTTCTTCTTAAAACTACACAATATCATACATATACATAAATAGCATATGCTTATACATACACACATACACATACCTTCAATAGAAATCAGTTTTTAATTATATTGTTAATACTGTCATTGTTTGTATGTTGAATAATTTCATTATATGCCCAATTTATTTCTTCTTTATATTTACAGGATTTAGATGGAAAAATAATGACGAATATTAGTACAGTTGCTGAACAAGCTGATCATATAGTATATGGCTTAGTTTATAATGAAACAATTTTCGATCATTTCAACATAACAAACCAAAGTTTATTGTTAATTAGAAAAGAGTCTGAAGAGACTGAGGTAATTTTATGCATAAATATCTATCATTTTAAGCCGTATTTATGAGCGCTAATTTCAACCATATTATTATTAAGACATTCTGATGCATTTAATACTCCAGTAAATAGTAAAGTATAGTTAGGACAAAGCTTTAATCAATCAATAAAGACACAGTTGATGGAAAGATATATATTATGGATGAATAAAGATTAAAAGCTTCCGAAAACTAATGTAGTAAGTTTAGAACAAGCTCCAGTTATAATACTGACTCGATACTTTATCGACCGAACTATAAAATCCAGTTGATTAATAATTTCGAACTATCTTATCGTTCATTATTAATCATGAAGTACCCATTTACCATTTTAACTCAGTGTAGAGTCTTCAGGTAGGCCAAATCTTTGAAGATGAGTCACGTCACTATATTTTGAATATTGAGAGTTAGACACATAAATTTGAAGCATTAACGCTTTCTGGTACCACCAGGTGATTTGATTGTCATATGATAATCTCAGAGACTGTTTTATAGAGAATGACTGTAAAGACAATCTCATATCAAACCTCATTTTAATCACATAAACGTTTATAATCAGTTTCAGTGATAATTCAAGTGAAAAAAAATTTACTAACTTTGGAGCATTACATGGTGATTAACAATGGAGTTTGATAGAAAAGTAAATGTATGATTAATTTGGAATACTTGTTTATATAAAGTAATCAAAGTAGACATAACGTAACAACAACATTGTATCACGATTATCTGTAGTCTGTTCTAAACAAATAGGAAATATCACCTGACAAATGTCTTAAAGTATAATCTTACTATTACATGTAGGGTTATCACTCAATACCCTAATAGACAAATGTGTGATGCTTGGAGTGATCCGTACTGGGCTCAAATCTCACTACGAATGATAACATGACCGCTAGTATATTGAACATATTTTGGATCTTACTTATATTCCACTGTACAATTATATCAAGTTAAATTATAGGTAATAAATGAATTTCATTTGGTATTTAGCAGGAATCAGTAAATGTTAAGTTTCACTTAAGAGTAAAGAAAAAAATGTTTAAAATATAAATGATCTAGTTTTCTTTCAATTTTTGTAATTCACTTTTGGGAAATTAATTTATAAAATGTCTTTACCTGTTTGACTGCAATAAAAGAAAATAAGTACTGGGTTTTCTATTTTTCTGTCTAACTTTGATCTATTTTTAAAGAAATTGATTTTTCAGTTTTTATAGCACTTCATTAATAGTTTTTAATTGGAATCGTCCATCATTCCGATTATCTTAGGAAATATAATGTATTTTCATCTTTTTGGAAATATAATCGATCGAATCATTTAAATAAACATATTTGTTTGAGATCATGAATCGATCAATGTTAGAACACCATTGAAAACCTGGAAGCACTGGACGACCGTTTCGTCCTATTTTGGGACTCCTCGTCAGTGCACATCCACGATCCCGCTCGCGGGATTCGAACCCAGGGCCTTCAGTCTCACGCTCGAACGCTTAACCTCTAGACCACTGAATCAGCATCCAACGGTGTCAATGTCCAACCCCAACCAATCCACAATATTGCGAGACCATGTTCCATTGTCTTCGGTGGGTAACTGCCTCATACGTGGCATGGTTGAACTTCACTGATCACGGCTTCTCACTAAAACAGCCGACCAGTGCTTCCGGGTTTTCAATGATGGTCTAACATTGATCGGTTTATGATCTCAGTGGAAACACAGCAATCTCTAAAACCTAATACTGATAAACATATTTGTATTTGAATCTAGTTTACACCCCAGAGTGAATTTAACTAAAAAAAACTAGAAAACCAAGGAGTAATAGATATTTGTTTCTTTCTAATATGAGACTCTTTAATAGTACATACTCACAACCTAAATAAGGATAGAATCCTGTTTTTTTAATGTTTATCTAACTAGATTCAGTCTTTGATTAAGACCATGAACCGATTGATGTTAGACCACCATCGAAAACCTGGAAGCAGTAGAAGACCGTTTCGTCCTATTGTGAGATTCCTCAGCAGTGAGCATCCACGATCCCGCTTGCGGGATTTGAACCCAGGGCCTTCAGTCTCACGCGCGAACACTTAACCTACTAGACTAGTGAGCTGGCATCCGATGGTGTTAATGTCTAACCTCAACCAATCCGCAAAATCGCGCGACTATCATCCGTGTCGGGTAGAGACAGGTATCTTAGTACCACAATAGAACAAAACGGCCATCCAGTGCTTCCAGGTTTTCAATGATGGTCTAACATCAATCGGTTCATGATCTTAATCAAACACTTAATAATCTCCACAACTCCAATACAGATAGATTCAGTATGTAGTGTAAATTCAATTCAAATGCAATAAACATTACAAATCATTTATACTAATAAGAACATATTTCGTATTTTCATTTTTATTTTAGCCATTTCGTTTAATTTATTCAGATGATTGGAATATTGAATCATTAGGTTCTTATTTATTTATTGAATCTTTACCAATTGTTAATGAATTCCAATTTGGTGAATTAACTTACTTTGATAGTGCTACAATCAAATATGATACATATTTATTTCTGATACAGTCTGATTTTGAATTTTCATTAGCATTAGATAATTATCGAAATGCTTGTAAACTATTTAGAAAAGAGGTATGTGAAGTAGTTGTGTTTTTTTTGTTGTTTTTAGTTTCTAAATTCGTATAATCTAATTTCATCATATATCTGTTAAATATTCAATTTTCTAGAAAGTTCGTAATGCCAAATTTGTAATTCTAATCACTGACCGACTTTAATGCCTAAAGAATTTTGTTGCTTTACACAAACTTTGACTTACATTATGGTGTCTTTTGAATTTAAATTATTCCTGTAAATTTTGGGTTTATAAAAACCGTTTCAATTACACATTATTTATTACCGAAAGTCATGTCAAACATTGATCTTTAAGGATAGAACCATAATGTGTTTATTCAAGCATATGTATGTTGTGACGGACATTTGGATTCCAAATAAACATTACCGGGTTCTGTGTAGGTTCATACTTAGGTATATTAACAATCAATGAAGTATTTCAGAAACGTGCTTCAGAATTCAAATAATTAAAAAATCAAAGGTTGTAGATGCTTCGTTGATTTATATAAATACTTAATTAATTGATTTTACAAAAGTGAACATCTCCTTAAGGAACCTAACATCGAACTTCAACTCGATAAATTTTACGAAATAAAATCGTTTAATGATTGACGAAGCATAAGAACAGCTTAACTGACTCATTCCGATAAAATGTATTCAACCTGAATAGTACGACTGAGTTACAAATCAGAAAACAAATGAATAGTTAAGGTAAAAAAGCAATCAGACATCCTTCACTGTTGTCTGACGTAACTGTAAAAGAATTGTAAAAAAGAATGTTTCCGAATTTATTTTTATAGGTTTATGATTAGGATTTAAGTGTATATACTTTATTAAAGTAGTATGCTTCACAGGGAGTTGTCAAAAATTAAATCCAACAGTTTTCACAGGTGAACAGTCAATTATTTATAAAGGCTCAAGTTGTCAACTTCTAGTAATGACTGTCTGATGTATAAATGAAAATAGATCATAACTGATTGGTTTCATGCTTTGAAGATCAGATTTATATCTATATAGTTTATCTTCAGAACATTGAACTAATTAAAATCTTGATACAAGTAATTTGACAACAGTTGAAATATTTGAGTGATTTTTTCCTTTCCATTTTTTTCTTTTAGATACGTTGCTATTTTGTTGATATGGCAAATGAAATTAACTTGAAATTTAGTCAGCAACACGGTGTTCATGTTGGTTATGGTTATCCACGATTTCAATTAGTGGCTACTTCCAAAGAGAGGTCACGAATTCGTTATCGTCTGAAAGGACCTAAATTTGAATTTGGACGGAAAGGATTTAATAATCGTGATCTGTTGAATATGATCGAATCGCAAGAAATTATCAGCTTTTTTAACCAACTCTTACAGCGTAAATTATCACCTTACTATATAAGTGAAGTTGTACCAGAGTATGATGAAAACGTCAGTGATGATCATGAAAATATGGGACATATTCCCTTGTCTTGTACGACTAAAACACCACCGATGAAATTAAAATTTATACATAAAGTTGTTGGGGCAACATTCAAAACATTAGTAAAGAATCCTGACTGGACATCTGTTGTTTATTTTAGTGAGTCATTTGTTTATCCTAAATATGATTACTATGTATAGATTCTAAAGAAAACGATACATTTAATCGTTTTTTAATGCCGTTTAAACATTGCCCTCGAATATTAACCTCTAAGTTTTGAAAAAAACGAATACTGGTTGTTATTGAGGTTTATTGTGTCAATGAAAACAGATAACCTAGTTTGCTTAGTTTCATTCTCATATGAATGCTCTAAAAATGATATATAATACATTACTCTGTATTATCAAGCTAAACTTCATTCATATTAATTAGAGGATTACGTCATGCGAATAGATAAATTTGGTTTGTAGATAACTTCTAAATCACTTAATAATGTATGCTGTAGATCATTAACATTTCCATATTAGAGACCACTAGTGGTTTTTATTAGTTATTGGTTAGTTGCAAGTATACCTAATTTGCGTGAAATATTAACTTGAGTAGAATAGTTTTTCTACTGAGCATTCAAAGGAAAAATCTGAAAATGTCTTGAATCGAATCAAAAGTATTTCTTAGTTTGAGATTTCAAGTTGTTTCACAGAACTTATACTGATTTATTGTAAGTGAAGATATCAAAAACATAAAAATTAAACGTGTTCTCATTTATTACATTCCTTCAAAGTTAATTCATTAGAATTATTGTTACGCGTCAATTCAATGATATTTTAGTTTTACTCAATATATAATATCCAGATTAGATCCTCCTTGTCCATGTAAACATTGAGATTGAATGAAAATACTTGTAGTAATATTTCGGTACGTGTTACACTTTATTAAGATTTATCATTTTAATGGGATATTTGATTTTGTGAATAAGATTCTACTCACAGTCTATCTCTCTTCGGTCTGATAGAATTAAATATATCATTTTATCATCTTTGAATAACAAAACCTATTAGATACCTCTTGTTACTGTCAAAAAACACACCTTAAACGGAATAAAATTGAGTTGATGGCTTCATTCTCGTGACTTAAGTCAGATATTTACTGAGTAAAATAATTTAATAGATATTCCGTTGTAACCCTCAGGTGAAAATTCATTCTTTGTATGTCTAAGTAAAACTAGTCTTCCTAAATATTAAATTATACTAGTTAAAAGCTCCAATTTGCCGGACAATTAATCTACTGATAACATCCAGCTTAGATAAAGTTTCATCACTACAGCTACAAGTTTCTCAAAAATTAGTTCTTTTGATTACATTCTATTTTTAGCAGCCAAATGGTGTATGGGATGTAATCGAACAATTCATGAAGAATTTACAAAACTATCACAATATTATCAAGAAGTTCATCGAACCGATTTATTATTTGGTTATTCATATTATGATTTAAATGATTATGAAGAATTAACAGCTACTAAAATGCCTCGAATTAAAATATTTCCTAAACAATCAAATGAACAAATCGATTATGAAGGTAAAGAACATTTTGATAATATAAAAGAATTCATTGAAACTATTGAGCGTACAGTCAAATAATGGTAAGTGTTTATGTATGTTTGGCAATTTAACCTATCTTCAATTTAATGATGAATTTTGGTGAAAATTTAAATAGGTATTTAGATCTTGTTTAATGTTTTTTGGATGAATTCAATTAACTCATTCATTTTTGTTACGATATTTTTATGCTGTGTTCTTCAGTAAAAAAGAGGTGATTACAAACTAATGTTAGGTTACTAGTGCTTCAAAAACTGATTAGCTTGTAATCTTGTTCAATACATTTCTTATACTTATGAACGGAATAATTAATGTTTAACAGCTAAGTAGAATTGCGAATTTTATTCTAAAATCAATAGTTTATGGGGCGAGACCATAATTTGTGGATGACCTTTGAACGTATATTAAATTATCTTAAGAAAGTTCACTCAATCAGAAAGCAGTTGGTATAGAGTAAAAATATATTATAAAAAATCAAAAATTAGTGGGGATACACTTCTTTGACATGGTTTAAGGACTTCTCAAGTTTAGAAAGAGGCTCTACAATTCTGAAGTCGTAATGTATACGATACAGGAACTCGTCCATACACCTCCAAAATAGTCAACCTCTGGAACCATGATAAGGTCGCAAAAATTCTTCCAGTCTCAAAAACATTGCTCCTATATTATTTGTATGCACTCCGGTGGTGGGGTCTACAAAATTTCACATGTTGACGATGACACGATACACGTGATCAAGTCTATGTAAGCATCGATATGCTCTCCAGGCATCTGTATACACTGTGGTTCCCGGCTACACGTACTCTCGTATAATTGGTATTATAGTTGTAGCTTATCGGTTTCTAACGCTCTGGAATTGTCATTTTTGGGATGATCTATCGTATATACCAAGGGCCTGTTAAGTATATTTATGGAAACCCTACTTACCCAATCTTCTTTAACACTTCATGCTCTATTGAATTCATGTTTTCTAACAACCGTCCCGTCTATATCTATGATTCTCCCACCTCCTTCAAACGATTCATGAAAGTATGTGATTTTTACGTCACATATATCTCGACAATACTCATGCCATTGAACTGCCGAAGCTTCAGTAACATCTGCAAATATTGCAGTCGGTGTTATTGGTACTTTTATTATCCAGTTTGCAACAATCATCATAATCTGTCTTAGTCTCAATCGGAAATGAGAGAAAAAGGTTCCCGTTCTAAAACACGTTTTCCTCAAACATATATTACGTCAAAATACATCATCACGTTAGTTTGTACAAGGTCCAGGAGTCATTTGACCACTGTAATCACAAATAAAGAAACTTCTCACTAATCCCATCCGTTGTAGCCGCTCAATTATAACGTCTTTAAAATCCTCTGTAAACCGATCGTATATGATCATTGGATACTGAAATAGGTGCAATGGCCTTGAGGTCGCTCAGCAGTTTCTGACTGGCTCGTCCGTAATCGAGAATTCAATAGAAACATGCTTAAATATGTGTATATTAATAAATGACGACTGTAAGTAGGAGTATTGTGATAATAGTTTTCGATTTATTCTTTTTATCCTGTGACTTCTTTTTTCTTTGTTTTACAAATAAAGCAGTCAATTCTTCGTGATCTTGTTATGCATGCTGAAATAAACAGTTGTACAACAGAAAATTATCGTCAATCACAGAAATGTTCTGAATACAATTTAGAAAATTGACTTCATTTAAAACAATATGCATACATTACATTTCTTTGTACAAGAAAGAATATATTTTTTTGAAAAATTCTCATGTCATCTTTATTTGATAATGATTATGTTAATCTCATACTTCCTTTCAATTCTTCTATAACCTTATTTCTTACAATAAAAAGAACCTTTTCAAACTGAATGTTCCATGAACAACTTTGTTTTTAATTAAATGCAGTATATAGGTGTCATTACCAAGGTTTGATTTGATAATTTCGAATAAATTGAGCATTGGGTTGATTGTTATAAATAAAAATAATATATTTGTAATATCCCAATGAGTAGAGAAATGAGATTTTCTGACGTTTCGTGGCTTAGTGTAAGTCACTTCTTCAGAGAATAAATAACCAAATTAAAATTAATCCAAGTTTAAATAGTACAACGGAACAATGCAAGAATAATATTCCGTTGTACTATTTAAACTTGGATTAATTTTAATTTGGTTATTTATTCTCTGAAGAAGTGACTTACACTAAGCCACGAAACGTCAGAAAATCTCATTTCTCTACTCATTGGGATATTACAAATATATTATTTTTATTTATAAATGCAGTATATTTCATAAACTGATTTTTAGTGTTATTTTTGAGTTAAATATGAAAACAAATATTTAATAGGAAAGATTTTTATTACTTATATTTGATATTTGGTGAGTAATATACATACACTCATTATCATTATAAATAATGTGCAGAAATTCACAAATATGCATGACAAAGAATTATTGCAAGTCCTACAAAATTGTACCTGAACTGGAATAAAACATGATCAATAATTTATAAACTATAATTAATTCTGTAAATCTATTAGCCAAAAGTTTCCAGAATTTATTATAACAATTTTAAACTCATTTGGTATTGTTTACTTGAATCTTTTCAATGAAGTTTAGGATTGCAGTTGATCAGTCTCTTATTAGCATATGTGCATACTGTGTGTATTGTCTCGATTTTGCCGATATTGTCTTATTGCATGAGTAAGTGGCTGTCAGGACTCAGTAGCTGAGCGAATAACGCGATGGCGTTTGAAACGAACGATACTGCGTTCGAGTCTTGGGGTGAACATCAATTCTGTGATGCAGGTGCATCCAAATGACGAGTCCAAAATAGGACGAAACACACGTCCTGAATTCCACTGCTACCCATCATCTGTCTTTGCTTTTAACGCTTGCGACATAATTTTAGCTTGTTAAAATCATGAGCATGTTTGTCGGACGATGATAGCCAATGACGCAATATTTTCAACATATAACGTTTACTCGTGCTATTGAACTACTGACATAATCTCTTAATTAGACTGTTATCCAGTGAAAGCACAACTAGTAGGTAGAATAGTCAAATAATGCACCTAATATAAACTGTTAATGAAACATAAGTATGAATGGATACCGGTGTTTTTTAATCACTTAAGTGTTAGGACACTATCCGGTCTTATTTTTGCACTTCATATAAGGATGTAATACAGTTTACACTACATTTCTTTTTCATTTTCCCTAAACCTAATACCTGCAAACTCTACCTCTGAAGTTGCTAATAAACCGTATCATTCAACTCAACATTGAACCCTAAAATAGATGAGATACTCCCACAGGCTCAGAGAGATTAGTAAGTAGTGGAATTTAAATATTTTCATCGATATTTACAGCATCAAAACTGCGTTACTTTTTAATGATGGGATTTTAAAGAAAGTTTTATGATTACTTAGCAAATTATTTTAATCATAGGACTTTATATTGGTCTATGGAAACCTATTTCCAAGACATTTAGAAGAAGTATATAATGATTACAACCGATGTTATAATGCTTATTTTGTGATCAGAAACAATAGTTATATTCTCATACAGTGAATGTTTTACAACTATGTGGAACGTAAGTAAGATTGCATATGCTTTTACTCTTTGCTAACTTATTATTGGATCAATCGACAAATAGTTCTTTTAGCTGTTATATTTTACATTTACTCAAAAATATATAATCTGTTAATAATAAAAAAACTAATTAATAAAGCAAACTACCATTACTAATAGAGGAGAAATATGAGACGATAAATGAAACAAATTAAAATGAAGACGTTAATATTTAGAATAATATATTATATAAAATTAATGGGACTAAATGTGAGTAGATCTAATCCAGTAAGAGCTATTTCAAATGATCATATTTGACTATGGACGGGTTTAGGTATTCCCGTTGCTCATATTAGTGGTTACATTTGATTGCTCTCTTAGCACGTATACATCTTGAGTAAATTGCATTGATATTGTCTTAGTTACAAGTTTTAGTAAAGTTAATTTGAGGCTGGTATTAGAATTCAGGACCCGTCAGCTAAAATGTACCTGCCACAAAGTTTTGATGTTCACATTAAGACTAGAACCTTTTCTTTTAATGGTCAGCTTGTTATCCATAGAGATACTGGATCCAAACACCCCTAAATTGTTTGGTAGGTAAGTACCTATATATATAAGGGTTACAGCTTTACTATTATTGATATTAAAACTTCAATTTGACCAGGCTTTCTTAGAGACTGTCTAGATTCAGTGGCTTGTAGACAACTCACTGGGATTTAAGGCGAAATCTTACTTACAGTATTCACTAATTAATTTGTGTACAATCATCAAGATGTATTCAACTCAAGTAACAAAAAGTAAAATATTGCTCAGCATACTCCTCTTGTGATAAAAATATTTTTTACCGCTACAACAATTAATGTATAGTTAATAATAATCAAACGAATTTTTTGTATTCCAACAAGACTTCATAGGTTATTGTCTCACAATAGTTGATGAAGCTTTTAATGTATTGGAATCCTAAAACTGACACAAATCAACAATTACACATGTAGATATTCGTATATATACAATACTCAAAAATAATATTTGGAACTAATTATATTCAATGAATACTTTGATTTGTTCCATTGTAAACCTGATTACTTGTACTTCTAAACCGTTAAGTTTGGCAATCTGTGCACTCAATAACATTGGTAATAAATGGTAGAAAAAAAGAACAAAGAAAGAAGTAACATTTAAGAAATTATCTATATGGTTGTTATGATCTTTTTCTCAAGCTCCTTTTAGTTTTAGCATTTTTTTTGTTTACCCGTATTATCTACCACTGTTACTTTTAAAATTCCTTCTTTTTCACTGTTAACATTATCTCTCAATTTTTTTTGTCAAACATATTTACTTATAAAACAATCCTATAAAAATACAAATAATGTTTTCAGTATGAAAACTGTTTTGCTATTCTTTGACGATATTTATGATATGACCAGTAATCTACAGAAAATTGATTACATTGTTTTTATTTGTTTTGTAAATAGCCGAAGAGTTTATAAAGAATGGAAAATAAAATCACGTTACTGTAAAGGTAATAATTACAAAGCAATTAATTTAGTAAACATGAATGATAACAACATTGTATAAAAGAAAAATATTTTTGTACATTGCATACATAAAGTCAGTAGATATGATAATAATTAGGTTATAGGGACTAAAGTCAAGGAGAATTTTATTGACTGTCTATAAGATTATTTTCATCTAAAAAAACTATCTTTTAAAGTCGAGAATCTTTTCTGAAATTTTGATTCTTTACAAGCGTATTCGCTTGAAAATGTTGTTCTGTTAGAGTAAAATCAAAGAAAAGCAGACAAACAACTTAGTTGAAAATCGTACCGAATAGTTATTTTCATCACTTCACGATAATTCGTATCACGAACTAATATCAACCGTAAAATATCTCAAAACCAGGGAGCGATTCATACAATAAGTTTCAGTTTATATTGCCTGAACTTCATTAAGACAAAATTTGAAGTATATGAACGGCTCCTTTCAAATTTGAATAAATGGTCTCACCTCACATTTGTAGACCGTTTCAAACAATGGCCAGAAAAAGCATATAACAAGGATATTACTGAAGAAACTGTTGCTCGTGCTTTTAACCAATGGCAGGTTAAAAACTTCAGTCTCTCATCAATCATTACGAAGGACTGTGGTCGACATTCAGAATCTGGAATATTCTATGCTCCGACTAATCTCTTAAGTGTAATAAGATTTTGAACGAACAACTACCACATACAAGTCGGTGTTATGATACGACGATTTTATCAACAGCCTTGAGCATCTGCTTCAGCTGTAAACTTATCATGACGTACGGACAAACTCGTCTTACTCGGAATTTATAGTTCGGTGAAAGCTGATAATTAATGTGCTGCAGCCAAACTGATTTGTGCACAATCCTTCAAATTCCAGACAGTTTTGTGAGTCATTCATCTTCTTTACGCAACACAGATCTGATATGATGGAATGAAAAAGGCAGAATCAAGTTTTTAACCCACTATAATTCTTGTTCAAAATTAAATTCATTTTAAATTCAGTAGCATGATAATTAAGTGTACGGTGTTTCTACTTTCAGTGGAATATTTTATTCAGCATAGCAGTGATTTATTTCAGTGCAGTGTTTATTCAAAATATGATGTTTTTGTACTGAATTATCGTGAATTATATTCTACATGACATGCGGCGCCCTATTTTCGACTAGAGTCGCCGCGTCTATTTCGGAGTCAGGAAACCTTCATTTCTACCAGTCATTCATATTCTTACATAGCGTCGTGGAAATTATAGTGGTCCCTTGTTTTCAAATATGAGTAATAGGCAACGCGGATATAACAGGACTGTAGGGTCGATGAAATGTCACTGAGCCCTAGCCAAATCATCCGGCAGTTGAATCACTGAATATCGAATACGTCATCGATTCCTGTCGAAGTCAAGGACAACCAACGCGCGTCAGTTAATTGTACGCTATAGACTGACCCGTGCGGTAGTGATCACACTTTCGTTTGTACCTATGTAGTGAAGAAGAACACGGGTGAGGACAGCCAAATTGTATTTAGGACAAATTACAGAATTACTTGGTAAATTAGAAAAACCATATAGTAAATCGTTAATTTGCAAAATATCATTCTATCATATCAAA